TCCGTATCTACAGCTGCCGTTTCTCTCGATTGTGTTATCCCAATTCTCAAGTTTCCATTTACCACACATCTTATATAGGCGAGGTCTCTCTGACGATCGCTTTTCTGCTGCTGGGTTCCCTATCAATTTTGTAATTTTTTTTTTTGTCAATAACGACCCTTAACCGATTTCCGCTGACTACACATCGCTCATTCCATCTCCTTCTCATTGCCATTTTTCCAGGGTATTGACACGGATCCATTTACATTTCCTATATTTATTTCATTTTCCATTAGTATTATTATTCGTAACGTATGAAATTTAAACCATCGCGTTCTCGGTTATTTATTCGATGACTGTACTGCTGTGTATAACAAAAATATACGGATAAAAAAAAAATTTGCATTCCATAATACACTGTATCAAATTGTTCAGCATATTTTACATAAAACCATAATATTTTTATAGATAATTCGAGAAAAAAATCCAGAATATTATATCAAGTGCCTATGAGTAACTCAAAAATATGTCTAGACAAAAATGTATAAATATAAGTAATTTGTTATCTCTATGATTATTTCTTACTGGATTATAAAAAAAATCGATTTTATACCGTTTCTTGGCGTTTATTTTTCTTTCAGGAATCACCTATTATTGATATTATTGAGTGATTATTAATACTATGAATATTAAAAAGCTGTCCTAGGATAATAATGAAGACGTTTATCTCATTTGATGAGAAAACTCCTGAGATAATTGAAAAATGACCTCTTTAAAGTACCATCTAGAGAAAATTTCCTTTTAGAAAAGGGTCTTCATTGTACCTATACATCGGAGTAAACTTACTGGTATATAAAGAGTTCATATATAAAAAAAAAAGAACCGATACTGGGGATCGGTGGGACCACTATTGTAGGTGAGAAATTGGGAACTAACTTTAGAACTACGTTTAATTCTAAACTATGTTTTAATGAAAAAATTGATAAAATAATCAATAAAGCGTATCATAATCTTGGTTTCATTACACGAACAAATAAATTTTAATAATTTAAATGCCTTTAAAAATATATATTTTGCATTTTTCAGATCCAAATTAGAATATAAATATCTTATTTGGTCTTCAAATAACATAGGGGTATAATTATTATTACCTAGTTTTAAGTCTCTACATGTATTTATAACTGAATTACAGCGAAAAACCTACCAAAAATTAAAATTCCTTAATAGCTCAGAAGTGTCTTGAAAGTTTTGGCGATAACACCGTAAGAAAGTAAATTAAAAAATCATTAAAAAAGATATCTTCTAATTTTTCGATTAAATCATTTTTTCTGGTAGAAAACGTCGTCAGTGCTTTTATAAAATAATAAAGTCGTGAAATTGTACGGTTTCTTACGTTTTTTCTCACTCAAGCGCTTTTATAATCAAAAATCAAAAAAATGATCTCTCTAAAGTACAATCTAAACAAGTTAAGCTTTTAGAAAAGTCGCTGAAAAAAAAAACAGCATTGTAAAACCAATACCTCCCTCGCTATGTTTGGAATCTAAAAAAAAAAATAATAATAAACATCTTTGTAAAACAAATATATTCTTCGCTCCACTCAGAAACTAAAATCACAAATAACTAAATACATTAAATTCAATAAAATTGCTCACGTTTTATTCGCGAAAGAAACCTAATACTGTATTCACGTGTTGTTCACTTACGAAATATAAACGTGAGAGCAACCCAAATACGTAATTCTTCAAAAATAATTAGTTTATACATATTATTCAGTGTATATGTTATTTATATGGTTTTAATAACACTAATATTTTAACTATTTCAAAAGTTGACCGGTAGTATTTATATTACGAGTATATTATAGATAAACTGTCGACCTACTAAAATGTTCTAAAACTTGTCCCATTTCCAAAGGTCGTTTGCCGACTATTGTGAATAAATAATGCGTTGTATTGTAGTGTAAATAACGAACAATATCGTTAGTGTAGTAAACTGAATTATCGGAACGATGAAATAATTCACAATATTATTGAAATTACAAAGTATGGATTGATGTAAAAAACCTATCCAATTAAAAAGGAAAAATAGGGCTTATGATACAAAAAACATTTTGTCAAGTATTATTTTTGGTCAAAAGTTTGTTGATTACGTGGGTCCCAAGTATTAAATTAAATTTCAATTTGTGTGTATAAAAATTAAAAATATAATATTTATGACTGGAAATCTTAAAATGACTAGCTTCAACAATATGATTTTGAATTGGTGATTTACGTTTTAAATTTAATACTTAAACTACATCAAATTTAATATCTATATGTATTATCTAATTACCTTATGTTTTGTAACAATTACACCATAAGCATTCTTTCACTAACACAATAATTTTCCTTAACGCTGGTAGATATTTGTTGTAAAAATTATTATTTCTTTATATGTAATTTAAATTTATTTAGCTCTTTATTACAATAAAAAATTCCGTCGCGTACTTTAAAATATAGTGATTTTAACCGTAAACCGTTAAAACACAAATCAAATTTAGTAATTTACATGATTAGTAGGGCTCGGAAGTTTTGAGAGTTAACGTCAAATCAACGTGTATGAAAAATAGGAGTGTATGCACATACGCGCGCACACACACACACACACACACGCGTATAAATATCTAATAATCAAAAATATTCAAACAAAAATGTGAATTATAAAAAAGATATTGTTCGTTAAATAACCAAATATTCGTATTAAATAATATGCAATACCAGTCATGTGAAATATATGAATTTTCCGTAAAAATATCTGTAAGCGACGGTAACTTACGGTTATTACTATTGAAAAACGTTTCGTTGCAAACTATTGAGCACATTTAATGGATTTGTATAAGCGATAAAATATAAAAGCATATAAATATATGGAAAACCGCTCAAATGTGTTTCAAAATTGGTTTTATAATTTAATACATTTTATCTATATCGCATGTAATAAATACACTGTTTTAAAATGATTTAAATCGACCATGGTTATCACTCAATGGCACAGTATATTTTTACCATACCTGAAGAATACAGCCAGAAAAGTTAGTAATATTTCAAAACGTCGAACAATCAAAGAATCAAACAGTTTGTATTGAAGTACCTAGTGCTTGTTTTGAGCGATCGAACTGGCGAAAAAACCAGAATAGTCGACAGTGGGCGGTGGGGAATTGGGCTACATTTTGTTATCCGGGTATTAGGTCACAAATAAAAGGTATATTTTTAAAGGGCGCCCGGAGATTGGGCCATAAATGTATAGCACAAATATATAATTTTAAATCTATGAAAATATATACCTAATATAAAATTAGTCAAATCATATTTAATTTTTTTTTTAAATAATGTGATACAGATTGCTTTGCATAGTATTCAAAAGTGCGGTCAACATAAATCGATTATAATGAACATGAGAAATTTAAATTTGTAATCGTGAAAAAAATATTAATATGGTTAAAAAATAGTTTGAAATAATGGTTTTAAATAGTGATTTTCCTTCTGTCAAATCTAAAATTTATTAAATTATATTGGCCCAATTACAGGATTTAATAATAAAAATTCGTTTAAAATAGTAGCCCAATCACCGAATCTACCTGCTATAACTGTACAATATTAGTGGCCCAATTACCGTATACCTTTTTTTAAAAAAAAGGTTCATTGTGGTCCGATTCCCGGACGCCCGTCGTTAGTAATGAGCGTCAGAAATAAGGTAAGTTACTGATACTAGTAATGAACCAGACAAGCGTCGGGATAATACGCGGCTATAGCTATGGTTAATAATATAATATGACATTATTATGTTTCAAAGTTTAACATTAAATTTAATCCGAACTTTTTATTTTGCAACCAAACAAAATAAAATGTTAAGTTTTGAAATTGAATACACGTTTTTCTCAGATTGAATAAAAGTGACTTTTCTGGTATTTCCCTGTACCCATCATAAGTAGTGTTGTAACACCGGTCAACATATTTTGTTACAAACGAATATTGATTATATTGACATAAACGTAAAACGACATACTAATAATAATGTTTTATCCTTATATTCTGTGTAATTTATGATGGATATCGAATAACGACTAACTTGTCGGCGCTGAGTTGTGTCCCGAATTTAAGGTACGATATTGTCGACATTTTCCACCGCCTCTTAAACTGCATTACACACGTACAACACGCGTGACACTTCGGAATATTTTTTGATCATTTTTTTTTTTCCCGTTTGTTTCGTTTAGTACGCGTCTGGTGCAAGCAATCTGTTCGTTTTTCCGGAAAACGCCGCCGGACGGGCCACTTAGGGTCGGGGTAAGGGGGAACACAATATTTGGCACAATAAATGGAACGCACATGTACCGCCGAATAAATAATATACCGAATGCGTAAATAATATTGTTACAAAACGCCGGAAACGATGCATAATAATAATAATTATTATTATCGTCGTCTAAAAACGGAAACCGCGCAAGAACGCGCGGCGTTGTCGACGCGGGGAGAGGGCAAAGCGCACGGTTTAATATTACAAATTAGTGTTGTAACAGAAATATACATAAGTATTCGATTTTCCACGTGGGAAAACGGTTCCCGTCACGTGCACTTCGTATAGCCGCGCATTGTTCGGCGGCACGCGTCGTTTAGCGTTCGGTATTATCGACAAAATCGAGCGGTTACCTAACAAGTAATAGTTTAGTGGCACAATTAACGATAACAACAACGATAAACTGTGTGGAGTAATTTTGTAAAAGTCCGGTATCAAAGAGAAAAAAAAAACACTTTTTTTTTTTGTTTATCAAATTTGTAATATAATATATTGTGTATTCGATGGGGGGGAGAGGTTTCACGGATGGGGGCACGGTCAATAACTCACGATACGAAAAAGCCGTGACTGTACGGCACGGGAGAACGGTGTGAAAACCGAAGCGAAGAAAAAAAAATAAGACCGTCGTGAAATTCGTTGGTAACACGCGTGTTATTGATATTGTGTATTGGTTTTTGGACGGGGGTTCATTTATACAAAACGGTCGGCGCGTTGCTCAGATCCATTTGCCGTTTCTTGTCGAGCTCCCGTTCGTGCCCCGGGGCCAGGTCCATGGCTCGGGTCAACTCGGGTCCGTACACGTCGGCCCGGTCCGGCGCCAGCGTCAGCGCCACCTTGAGCTCGCCGACGGCCAAATGAGCGGTGTTCAGCTCGATCAGCGCTCGGCCGCGGTTATAGTACGCCTCGGCCCGCCAACGCACGTTACCGTCCACCGCGGGCACCATCAGCTCCAAGGCCTGCGAACAAGGGGTTCAGCGCGGTTATCGTTTTACGTGTGCACACTCGGACAATGAACGCTCAGTGCTCGAAACGGAATCCCGTTCAACGGGGGAGGGCTATTGCCCGGGGGCGGCGAATCGTGTGGCGCATTAAAGCGGGGGGGGGAGGAGGAGTCTTCTTTTTGTGAACCAACACCAATGTACAGGTTCTCTTTTATGATTACTCTCCGATGATATTTATATTAGGACAGACAGCCTTTCAGCTTCACACTCGGATGGCGCCTAACCTTACGGAACTGGCTTGAAATGGTGCGAAATGGCCAAAGGACTGCATCCGTGGCGCAACATACAGGGATATTTTCTGGCACAAACTGCAATACGAATAGGGCAACTACGCGCTATAACGCGTAGTTGTCCCCCACTGAGGACGGGTATAAAGGAAATTCGAATTTTTCCGTATTATTGATCTTTATCTGCCACTGTCAAACGCAATATTGTAAAGATTTTGTGACAACATTTTTTAAGTATTTAAACATACCGATCGTGTCCACTCCCTAAAATATATACCCGGTACCGGATGGGCAGTTGATATTCTTATAATGAATCATCAAGCAGGATTCATATTTATAACTTATATAATATACCTAATACTTGTGTAATAAATCATTAATGCGTAATACGCTATCAGAAATACGTAATTGCTATAGACGATATCGAGTACCCATTGTTATTCCTACTTAAAATACATTATAAAATTGCAAATTGACCGAAAAACGCACTAATTTAACGATCGAACACTAAAATCGGCTAATTCGCAGGCTAACTGCACGGACACCATTCATAATAATAGCGTCAGTAATTGAAGAAAGAAAACGAAAACATTATGGCAATAATTCGTACAAAGCAACACGCAATATCGGAAGCCAGGAAAACAGTCTTGCAAAACATCGGATCAAACATGTATGCATAATATTCATCGATGATTTATTATATTGGTTATTAGTAGACCGAAGTGTCGTAGAATAATAAAACGTCGGTAGGTATACAGGACAAACGGTATTTTCAAAGTTTAAAGTAGGTAATAATTTTTTTTTTTATCGGGGACCAGCGGAGAAAATATTGTAAAAGTTTTATTATTAAAATAATAATTAGAATCCAATGCTATAGTTCGCTTCTCGCACTACATTAAACAAATTAAATTTTTTTTGAACGCGTACAAGAAATTTGTAGATTGTATAACAACTAATATACTTACGGTCGACGCATCTTCGATGGCTTTGTGGTAGTTTTTTACTTGAATATGCGCGTTTGATCTGTTCAAGTACAGTACGGCCATTTTAGGACTCAACTTGATGCCGTGCGAATAAGCGCTCAACGCTCCGATGTAATTGAATTCCTTCATAAACGTACTGTAGGGAGGGGCAAACCATTAGTAAACTTTAATAAATATATTTAATCATAATCGTGGATTATTGTAAATTAAACAACAACAAATGCAAAATCTAAAATAACAAAAACCATCATTATTGTGTGAACACTCTCGTTTTTTCCTAGGATTTCTCCAATTATTAAAAAAACAACGAGAAGAAAAATGATTTCCCCAATGCAACAGCTAAACGGAATTTGCTATTACGAGAACCCATGCCCCTGAAGTAGTTTCAGTAGACGATCGGAATGAGTTCTCTGATATAGAATAAAGTTTTTGATAGCGGATATCCGGATAACGTATTGTTAATACAAATGGAAAAATAAACTCGCATCATAATATTATGGGTGTTTTATTGAAACCAATACATTTCTAAAATCGTTCAGAATCTTAAACAATAAACGAATTGATTAAAGAAAAAGTAATAGATATATGACGACTGTCGAGATTTCAACGAATTGTGTTTACAAGTGGGCCAGATAATAGTCCGTAGACCGTAGGTGTATATAAAACTTTATTATATAATAACTATATACATAAATTAAGTGTATACATTCTATACTGAGTTGAGTATAACTATACGAAATATCGTAGTTGATAAATATTAATTATGTTTATTTTACAATTTATTAAAAACGCTGTTCACGTGTGCTACATGAAATTATTTCCGTGTACAAGAACAATAAATAGGTAGGAGAGTTAATGAAAATAATCAACTTGATTAAATTAAGTTAATGAAAAAGCATTCAGTTACAAGTAAAAATGAAAAAAAATAAAAATATTAACTTCTCGGTTAAAGAAAAAATTAATTTGTTTTCTTTTCATTACCTATAAATAAAATTGCTTGCTCAAGATTTTGATGATACCTTATATTATGATTGTACTACTTACCTTTTAGATTCTGAGTGTAGCGAAGAAGGTATTGGTTTTAAAAACATGTTTATTTTTTGTATACTGTATACAAAAATTCTATCAGAAATCTCCGAGGTATCAAGTATACCACCTTTTCTGAAAGGGAATTTTTCTGAGGTAGTACTTTAAGGAGGTAATTTTTTGATTTTCCCAGAAAGTTTTCACGGGATTTTTAAGCGAGATACGATTTTTAAATTTTAATACTGCACATACTTACATATATACAATTTATTACATAGAAAAAATCAACACCTAAACACAGACAAAATGTTGTTGCCTCTATGTTTAATAACACGCCAATTTACTGTAATCAAATATTAAAACTAATAGCACAAAATTGATTATACCGAATGAAAAAGTTGATATTATCCAATTTTCAAAATTAGCCGTTAAGAGTGCATAAATCGCAGTACTAAGAATAGGCAATTAAAATTGAATAGCGAATTTCGATAAATATTATAAGTGTTATAATTGTACAAATTTGAGTTTATACAATGAAAACTTAAACTAACTTAATTTAGTGAACGATAAATATAATTTTGATAAAAATTGAAGTAACAATCGGGTAGGTATAGTTATAAATTTTACCTATAGAATATATTTTTATAATGGAATCGAAGGAGAATAAAGTTCAAAGATTCTAATAGAGAAGTAAATATAAAAGGTATATTTACATTAGAGATTTAAAATGACCTAAAGAAGAAAAAAAAAGAAAATGTAGAATAGAAATTTAAAAGTATACTATAAATACGACTTACTCTCCTTTTCGTAAACACCACTCGGGATCGTGTTCTTCGGGTCTCAGATCTTCTTCCACGAACCCCGCGGCTCTTCGGGCAGCCGTCTGCTTCTGGAGCCACTACAGCACAAATGGAAAATTATTATTTCCATTGAAAATACCTACCTGCAGTATCGTAATTACGACAACTGCATGCAAATATTACCTCCTGCTCATCTGCTTTGGTCGATTCCCTGCTCGGGGTGACAAAATGTCTGGACGTGTGATTGATCTCTATCGATTTAAACGCTCTAGATCTCGGCAACATTGGAACAGCGTCGTTTTCGATCTCATAGATCCTAAGAGCTTCGTTACTTGAAAATAAATCTTTTTCATTTTTCACATTGTCTGGAATAGAAAAATAAGTACGAATGTATTGCGCCGGGTATGTTCGGAAATAAGTGAACCATCTATCGAAATAGAATCCATAATCTACGTAAGATTAAGTCGACTTTGGTTCTGTAAATAATAATTAAAAAAAGTAATAATGTATTGGCCAGATCCATTATCAAATAATAATATTTCTAGTCGCTAAGTCAGTAAGAGTTGCTGTATTCACGTGGCGCTTATCAGTGTTCTATAAATTATTGTTCGTAATTTGAAATGTTTATTTTTATTCTTTCTTTATATCTCCCATGGCCAGAAATTATGATTCATATTTTTTTTATTTACATTGCTCACGAAGAGAAAACAAATCCGATTTGCGTGCCTATATAATATTCTAAAAAAAAAAAAATATGAATTTTTTAATATAGCTGGTATCCGTACTTTGATCGTTTCCAAGTGGCGTCGATTTCGATTTCCAATTGCGTAATTCTCTCAAAACTTTTTCTTTCTCTTCATTCCGAATAGTCTCGATTAGCTGATGCTCTTTGTTATCGCAGTCTATTTGTTCTCTGACGGCCAAACGATTTCGTTCTGTTTTTGCCACTAAATAGTATTATACAAAATTATAGGTTTATAACGACAGCAGGGGCGGACCCAGGGGGGGGGTTGGAAGGTTAGCTGACCCACAGCTTTTCTCTCGGTAAAACGTGCCCCCTCGAAATGACAAACTACACAAATACGTACAATACTACAACAATCAAAATAGAAATAATATTAAATGACAACATGGGTGTTATAAGTAATTTATAAAATGTACACAGAGGCTCAAGAACATTTCTATGAATATATAATTATAAATTTATAAATTTCACGATGCACAGATAGACGTGAAGACTGGGTACCGAAGTATGAATAACCGGCACGAAATCGTACGGCCAGCGCGTATCAACGAATAATACACCCAAATCGAATGCGCGGCCGCCTTTACAAAACATACACCGATAGTCGATATTGTTGTTTGTACAAATATATTTATCACATATTGAGTAAAAAAATCCCTTTTATATTTATTGATTTTCTTATCGTATTATCAGCGGAATCTACGGTTGTTCTATATTATTATCCAATATCCACGATGAATAAACGAGCCGTGGTCATTGGTTGTTATCAATGTATTATACGTATTATGTATAAACGTATAGTGTGTATTATACACGAAAGCGGTTATCGAAAACTAAGATGAAATAATATACCGCAACGTATACAAACGCAATAACAAATGTGTAACATCTCTTCTCAAAATCTAAAACACTCAAAATTATTTAAATATTTCAGGTAAGTTTGTTAAGCGAATATCAATTTGAATGTGACAAATAAAAAACCAATTAAATTTGAATTAATTAACAATAACAAAGTTTGTAAGTAATTTTAAAATTTTACTAAAAAATTAGTTATGACTAATGGCCTCTCGTAAGTGAGGCAGACCCACAGTGCTAAAATCCTGGGTTTGCCATTAAATGACAGTAATAAAAATATGAATTGTAAATGGTAAACAAAATTGAAAACTGTATATACACAACAGAACTGCGAAGGACCGAAGGAAATTTCCGTTTTTGCAGCGGTCCACGGGTTTCCGATTTACACGAGTTTAAAAATACCTGCGCGTGTAAGAGGATTAAATTACATTTTCTAGGGACTAATTGAATTTCCGTTTTATACAGTGTATCCGTTTTATCAATGGTCTGCTTAAAGGCAATTTTATTATAGTGCTTTGGCCCTAAATAATTTTAGATTCTGAGACAAGCGAAGTTAGTGAACAACTGTTTTACCAGAAATCTTGTTCCGATTTTTATGTGTGACATCTTTTCTAAAATAAAATTTTAACTGGGTGATACTTTAAGGAGATTATTTTTCGATTTTTATAGCGGTTTCCATAATAACTGTGAAAAAACATGAAAATTTACAAAATTAATTTTTTTTTTTTTTGTGATTCAGTTAAAAATATTTGAAGATACTTGAAATTTTAACAGAAAATTTATATTTACCTTTTCTAGATGTGATAAAATTTTCAAAACATTTTAGCTATTTGTGCGCTATTTATAGTCATTTGCTAGACTTTTACGTAATTTTTGTCGGTAGGTACTCTGTGGATTAAATTATTAGATCAAACAGAAATGCATGAAAATTTAACAGAAAGTTCATAATAAATCGTAATTTGTGGTCAAAAGAAAAAAATTAAGTACAATGTAGAATTTTTTTTTTATGAGAAATTGAATAACAAATTTTGATGAAAATTGTAAATATTACGGCTTTTCAAAATATTTATAACCGAACTCCGCTCAGAATTTGTATTCATTAATGAATTAATCGTTGCGTACAGATATGCATTAAATTTTCATCTATCTTTCTAACTTCTCACTTACAACAGTGGCCCAACCATTGTGCAAAATATGTCCATCTTTTTTGCGTGGGTATTTTATGGATACCACTGATAAGTCTAAAAATTATTTCTAGAAAACGTTCGTTCATCCACAAACCATCAACATCTATCAATCAGAACATATTTTTATTTATTTTTAGTTAATTTTGTATAGTTTTAAATACAAGCAAATTAAATTAGGAAAATACTAGGTGTAATAATTTTTAAATTACATAAACTTAACATTTATGTTAGATAAGACAAAGTTATATATTTAGAAAATTCCGCAAATTGATTTGATGAACTGGAACCAACGTTATTAAATAAAATTATATTAAATATTATTAAGAGTGTTTTTGTTCTTTTAAAAATCTCCATCATGTCCACCTGTCCGTAAACAGTTAAATGCTAACATTTAATAATTATTTACGGTTGTTAATTTGTTTAATGTGGTTGACAAGGAGATGAATATTATTTGTAACATTGTTTATATGTATTATTATATAAATATTATTATTATTAATAATTGAATATAAGTATGTAGGTATTAAATACAAATTTATACCAGCGCAAATATAATTTAAAAAACAACTGAAAATAAAAAAGGGCTGGGAACAGGTGTGCCACTATTGTAGGTGAGAATTTAGGAAATTAGGACACATAAAGTTATTTAATTTACTTATGTAAAAAACGACAATCGAATGAAAAATGATTTGGTGCGAAGTTCGATTATAATTTTTAAAGGCAATAATATTTATCTTTTTTATAGGGCAAAAGTTGATATTAAAATTCATATAAATAAAATAAATAATACATTACCCTCAATTTTATTTATTCACTATTAAGTATGACATATAATGAACCTTTTGTTAAATTTTAAAGCATTTCTGTTTAGTCTAAAAATTGTATCCACAGTGTATCTACCAAATAAAAGTTACGTACAAAACTCACAAAATTAAAATGTCTACTAATAGCTATTTTACTACGGCTAGAAAAAAAAATAAGATCTATCAAAATTTCACGTCTTTACGAATATTTTAAACTTAATTAAAAAATGAGCTTTCCTAAACTATTTTTCTTGTATATATAGGCAAATCATAATTAATTATCAGACCCAATTGAACGTTTCTTTGAAGACGAACTTTTGCGTTGACCGAGAAAACGGTTACTGAGAGGTTTTGATGTTAAAAATTGTTGGAATTTAATTCAAACAAGTTGTGAAAAGTAATTTCGAACAAAGCACATGGAAATAAAATTGTACATAATAAAATAGAAAATATGCAAGGGTAATTTATTTAGGTAGGTGTTATTAGTTTGTAAATTTATTGTGAAAGTTCTAATAACTGTATAGTAGTAGGTAAAGATACTTAAGCATTTAGTAGTAGGTATTTTTTGCAATGCTGCATATTATGTGCGGTGCCCCAACGGATGATTTTCTTTTAAATTAACGGTTTGTATACTTCATGGACTTATAACATAGGTACGCAAAAAAAAAAATAAGGCATTAGAAAAAATACACGCTGATTCCTACCAGCTTTTTGTTCGGATTTTTTCTGCTGTTCTTCAAGTATTTCGCATAAAATTTTACATTTTAACTTTTTCAATTCGTCTTTCGACGCTTGTAACATTAAGTGTTCCCATTGTAAATTGTTTTTTTTTTGCAAATCGAACAAAACACATCCATGGTCGAACGTACACTTGCTGCATTCGTCGTTTATTTCGTCCCAGAGAATCGCTTCGAAAATGTAAGGTAAACAACTAATCTGCATACATAATATTATTATTAAGATGCACGTATAATTTTCTACGTGAATATCATGAAATATCTACAAAAACAACAACCACCCACGTATACGAGGCATTTACTTTTAAATATTTATGAGACGTCAGAACGTCCGAACTTTTTGGCGTGACGTGTGGAATTTGAAGTTGAACAAATACTTTACAATCGGTTTGCCACCAAGAAAAGTCTTTCACGATGATTGGCATGACGATGATTTTTTTTTTGTACAAAATTTAGTAAAAGCGGCGTGTATTGATTCTCACAAAACACAACATGACTAAACAAATACATTTGCCGAATAATGGCTGTAATACGACTTATACCTACCTCTAATACCCAAACTCTGAACTGTTTGTTACCATGACGTTACCAATATAACAACGTACAAAACGTAGTCGCATACATTAAACGCGAAAACAGCTTGTAAATTGTATCAGTAGTATCGAAGATTACCCTTGACAAAAAATAGGAGGGGGGATTTATCCATATTATAACAACTTATTGTTTCGTTACTAAGCAAATGTGTTTTCTTTCTGTATGGGTATTGGGTTAAATATTTTGATTTTTCTTCCGTATAAGGTGTAATTGAGGGGAATCTGAAAAATAACAAAAAATGAAGAGTTGATATAGAACTAAATATTAGCAAATTTTTTCTTTTATAATTTCCAATGTGTGGTAGGTGGCTTGCCAAATACACATTCATAGAAATTCAAATCGGTTGATGTTGGTGTTTTTGATAGATTGAAAGCTGAAATGTTAAAATATTCAGGAGAATTTATAACTATTAAAAGACTAAACTATTGTAAAACCAATTTTTACCCCTACTTCATATACCTTAAATAAGTGCATACTTTTATTTTTCAAATAAGACTCCCCTTTTTTGAACACAGATTCGAATAGACATTATTTTCTTTAGAAATTTTGGTATTCATAACAATAATATCAAATTTATTGTTTAAAGTCATTTTTATTATTTCTAATTTTAATTACTTCTTTAGCTAAATAGAATACTAATTGAATTGATAACGGCATTACATTATTATATATCATTTATATTACATAGGTTTACAGCAATTGTTTTTACTTTATGGTGAGGTACCTAAAATTAGTCTTGTATTAAATTTGTTTTAATTTATTAATATAAAAATAATAGGATAAATGATGCTCAAACTTGTTATTATAATATAGTATAACATCTTGTATATTACTAGATGTCAAGTAAAAATTTGGGAACATTTAATTGTTAATAATGTAGTTTGGTAGGTTGGTAGCCGGTAGGATAATCATAGATGTGTTTATCATGTTTATTGTTTACTTATGTTCCTAATATGTTTTTTTTTTTACCGATTTCGGTGTTTTGAAATAATACATTATTGTAGTATTACTTTAGTATTACTACTGTAGTATTTAATTTTTTTGATGAAACTTAAAATATTAATATTTTATAACGTAATGTTTTACAATTTGAATTTTTTAAACATTTATTTCAGGTAAGTAAGTACCTACCTTTACTCATTTAGTTTTGATAAATTTATTATTATGGTATTGTAATTAAAGAATTATTATTATTATTATTATTTTTTAATATTTATAATTTTCTAAAAGTTTTTTTTTTTTATTGGAAACAGAATAAGTCTATCTGGCTTAGTTTTATAGTTATAAACGTTAAAGCTCTTCTTAATTAATAACTCGACTCAAAAATGTTAAAAAAAAAAAAAATAATAATATTGTAAATATTCTTAGCTTTACTCTCGTCTCTTATTATGGCCGATGAGCGATGCTCCTTGAGTTAAAAGTGTATAAGAATTTATCGGCTTCCAGCTAGAGCAAGGCCTCTAGTAAACTTTAAGAAATTACTATATTTAAATTATTTAAAAATAATACAATAAAAAATAATTTTTTTAGTTTTTTTACGAAAGCATAAAAATTTAATTTAAAAATAAATATTTGTATCACTGTAAGGGCCCGTATTACAATAGAAGTTTAAATCTAAGTCAAATGGAATATAAAATAAGTCATATATGTCTTATGAAATAAAAAAAAAAAACCAATTTAATTATTTTTATTATCTCAAGAGATATTGCAGTGGGTATATTAAATATACTATACTTTCGTGGGATACTATGTATATTGTTTAGGAGCGTGAATTAAAACATCAAGATGCCAAATGAGAGCTTATCAGTTGAAGACAGACAAGGAGGTTGCCAAAATAAATTACTGCGCTTTGTTGACACTATGTCATTTAATGAACTAATGCGGTGTTACTTTGATAAAATTTGAAGATAAATTAAATAGATGCGTAAAAAGTAATATATTTTTATTTTATTTTTCTTAACTTTAATTGTGTCTTTAAATTGTTTCATGCTTTTTATTTTGTATACTGATAGTTTATCTATTGATTAAGTGTACTTAATCAACGGTTTGTTATACAAAATGAGTGGAGAATTTTACCATCGTAACCACTTACCGCCATAAATTAAACCGGAAACTGAAACTTTTGAACCGTCAAAATACTGATAAGAGTGTCTCGTTCGGTATTCTGTACATCTAAATTCGTGAGTAGGAGCAGATGACAGGAAATTAATTTTAGAAACAATAGGAAAATTATTTTTCATATAATTCAGTGTTGAATTATGTGTCTGTTTACCTATAATTGATTCACGCATTTTTACAACTGTTTTGCAATTGCAACCTGTGCTTTTCCCCGTTTTCTTTTTTTTTTTTAGTTATAGATATATTAAGAAGGTTGTAGAGAAGATTTTCCGAAGATTATGATTTGTGACTGCTAGACACAACGACTAGTTTCGGAACTTAATAGTCATTCCTTATTTATTAAAAAACCGCTATTATCCTAGGTACCTGCGTAATATCATATTGGACTACCGACGTTATAACTTACTACTTACGTATATCTACTTACAGTTATCATGTATGAGAACGATTTTTTTCTTTTATCATACTTTTCATATTGTTTAAATTTACCGAAAAATTTAATATTCGTTCGCCGAAAAAAAAATTAACTACAATAATGTTATGATTGTATTTCTATTATAGTATATTCTTTTTATTTCGATTCACACTTCTCGAAAAAAATTTTGTTTTAAAATATAATTACGCACTGTGATATAATTTATTTTATTATTTTTATATAATATTGTTCTGAAATGTTCTTAATATCGCGGTTTACAATTGTGCAAAACTTTCTTCGTAGTTTTTTTTTTATTACGGCAGTAGTCACGTGCACTTACTTTTGTAATGGTAAAAAATACCCCTGTTATAAAAACAATACAAACAAATCAAGAATACAATTTTTTAATATAAAATTTCAATGAGTGCTCTGAAGTTTCAATATTGTCCTTGCATAATTTTAAGCGTAGACTTTACATTGAAAATTAATTAATTCTAGTGATAAATTAGTTATAATGTCGAACCAGCGTTAACAATCGAAATCGAATAATATTATATTCTATACAGAATACATTTGAATAGTACTTCGATAAATAATTTAATAACATTATTCACTGGTCGAAGCCGCTTCCGTTTGCAAGTACGAAATCAACAGGTCGACTGCGTGTTTCGAAGTTCCCGGTGCCAATGTTACTCCATATCCCCCGTGACCGTAATTGTGCACGATCTAAATACAAACAAATAAGAATTCAGTCGATCAAATATTTGTATACCATAGTAATTTAGGTAATGGGATGGGAAGAAAAAAATTGAATAAAAAAAAAATACATAATTAGCCGATATTTCTGATGGGTGTGCCGCTATCTGTCTGTTGTGTGTGAGGGAGATATTGACTGAGAAGATAGCATACATAAAGAATTTATATCTGTACGCAACGATAAGTCATCGCTAACGATTCTACCCGAAGATCGGTTTAACATGTTTTAAAATGCTATGATTTTTTATGATTTCCATTAAAATCTGACCTTTAAACGACGCATATTGAGCCTTCACGCGAGTTTCCATTCAGTGAGGGTCAGGTAATTATTTTGATATCAATTAAAATAAATAAATATAAAATAAATTCTCAACATTTCTGCTTAGAAAATGAATTTTATTCACATAGAATCACATAAAAATCAAAAAAAAAAAACTCCAAAAGATCAAATTATGTTTCCATTGAATAGCTCGAAAACACCCAGTCTGTTTCGAAATTTGTATCACATCTTGTGAATAAAAGTATTTTGAAAGTACGTCAGGTCTACGATTATTTTTAACCGAATAACAATAAAAACCAAATCTAAAATAATGGCATTTTTTACCGTTTTACAATACGTTTTTCTCAATTATTAAGAGAACAATAAGGAAAATCAAAAAACAATCTCCTAATATAGATTTTCTTGACGGATGATCGTACCGATAAGATAAATTAATATAGACAGCGCGGAAAGACGGGGGCTCGGGTGTGTGTTGAGATGTATTTATAGGGCCCGGAAAAATTATACGGGAGAAAAACATAATGTGGATGAACCGCGAAAAATTCGTTATTACCCAGACATATTAGAAAAAAAAAAAAAAATGCACTTGTCATTGAAACCCGGGCTGTACAGTTATCGCAGAACGGTGTTTTCGTCGTCGATATTATCACGAGTACAAGCCGTTTGTCTAACGGAAAACGTTGTCATAATACTAGGTGTGTTTTTAGGCGTTTCGCGTCGTAATACACTCGTAATCGGGGAAAAATAACCGGCCGAAGTCGTGTTGTAACCGAGGGAAAATTATCCGATCTGAAGACCGACAAATATAATAACATATATTATTGTAATAACGTCGGTTCCGAAATAGCACGTAAATAATATTATTTTAATGTTACGATATTACAGCATCGCATTATGAAACCGGCGCCGGTAACGACGCGCGAAACGATCGCTCACCGCAGTGCCGTTAATCGTTTCGATTTCTATTCGTATCTGGTTCCGGTACGGCCTGAGGCCCACCCAAACGCTGTAATCGGTTTTCAGAGCTTCCCTCAGCGAGGGCACCAGACGGACACAGTTTTCCAGTATCTCTTCCGTGTTCCGGTCGTTGGCGGTTTCATTGTTGCTGCCGAAATGCCGGCAACCGCCCAGCACCACCGTCCCGTCCTCCTTCGACGGTATTATGTACGTGTCCCCGTCGTAATAGTAGAATTTGTCCACCCACGGCGCTTTCACCTGAAACCGCGATAAAATTCGATCACCACACGATATTATAATACACTGTAACCCGCCCCGTATTCGATCGTCATGAAATACGTTTCCGGCGGCGTGGACCCGGTTTCCGACCAAACCTAACCCATCTGTTTGGCTGCATCCGAGTTCCGTTCCGATAACCTTTTCTTTTTTTTTTTTTGTTCCGATTCCGATTTCAGTGTTGACATTTTTGATTTCTGTCGAGCCGTTGACGGGATTTACCGCTTTTAGTTTTAGGTTGGAGGAGATTAGTAGTGGTGCATTATCAACACGCCGCGCGCCGTACCGCCACACCAATGATATTCCGCCAATCTCCTCCTACCCAAACTTAAAAGTGGAATATCTCGTCAAACGAAAATAAAAAAATGTCAACAATAAAATTTGTTTTAACTAATACTCAATCTATTTATGGACTTTTTAATATAGGTTGCCATTTAAAAATCAAAAGTAGGTAGTTGTTTTACCCCCAAAAATAAGCGTGACAAAAAATAATACAAATATAAAATTATGGAGCAGCTTGTTTTTTTTAACGTTCTACAAAAAAAATTCCGGAAAAAGTTAATACTTTCCGAGATAACGAGTGCTTAAATCAACTTAAACGAATCACATTGTATACCAATTCCGTCCCTAATAACAAGAAGCATAACTAAAACATTACAATATTACTATATCAGTACAATAAAAATTAATAAATCCCGACACGGAGACGCACGAACAATGAACGCAAGAAAGTTTAAAATTTAAATAGTATTATCTTTATTTCTAAATAATATATAAAAACGGAACTCGAATAACTAAATAAATTACATGAGTATGAATTAGTGAATTCGTTTCAAATACCCGGGACGGAACTGTATAGTATATCCTTTATATATTCGAATTTTACATTTGGGACGGAACTCAGATGCAGCCATCTGTTTTACACGAATCATAATATTGTGCAAACCCAGGAGATTAATCCACTTTGATGAAAACATTAGAACTGTTGCAGTAAATGCATTGTCTTAGAGCCCTTCTCACCTCGCAACAGAAAACCGATTAACAATACTATTGAAAATTGAAATGTAATAGATATTATATTGTACTATAAAAATACTCTGAAACAGGAAAACCAACGAATAACGGAATTTTAATGAGTATTATTATACTCTTTGGTTATCTTATTACAACTTTAGATCATAACAATATGGTCGACGACGACAGCTATTAGCAGAGTCTAATTAACTATTATTAGTAATTATCATATTGATTAGATTTGAAAATTTTGGCAGTTCGTTAAAGCGCGTAATGTTAAGATCTTGTAGACGGTGTTATAATTGAATCAGTTCTAAAGCCAAAATGAACATATATATTACATGAATATGTTACGTACATATTCACCAGCATCCCCCGATCCCATTTAAAAATTTTCAAATTTTTTTTTTTTGCTCCGATATTTAGCATGTAATTTGTACTTCGCGTGCTAAATATTGGCGTCGGAAAAAGTCCGAAAAGTTGAATTTAAAGCCCGAGGGGAGGGAGGGGGTTGTAGAAACGTTTTTACAGCCCCTCATATGGTTATTTTTTTTGGTAAAGTCTAAACTATAAGCATACAAATTGCGGCGATATGCATGGAAATTCATGGTAATTGCATACTAAATATTGGCGCAAAAAAATTTGAAATTTTTGAATGGGTGGGGGGCTGTTGAAATGTATTTGAATGTGTCGATGTTTGAATATAGTATTTACCAATATGGTAAAAGTGTTATATTCACTTTGAAAAAAAAAAACAATTCTGTATGTGCTCTTAACACAAAATATTGATCCTCCCTCCCAAGACTTATATCCTCCGTAATCACGCCACTGAATCTAGCCACGTTATTTACCATTTCAATAATGTTAGTATACAAATTGGTTATGAATTATAAATACACGAAGAAACAAAACATGCGAGCGTACGAAAAGCACGTTGGGCACGTGTCGTTTATAATATTATACAATAGGTACATATATTATTACTATTATTGAATAATAATGACGCACACAAATGTTTCGTGCCCGTCGGTAGTATTCTTGTCGGATTTTTTCCGAAAATAGAGACTATTGCAGCGTATTATTTGAACTTTTATGATCCGAGTGAACTGTGCTACTATTTTTGGTAATACGTGTAATATTGTCTTTTGATTTTTTTCATAGTTATCGGCATTATGTTTTATTGTTTGCGGTTATATTACGACGTCATTTAATTTTGTCCTAAATATCTTATCAATTTAAATTAGCCCGATAATCGGACTCTCGTTTCCGCACTGTTGGCTTGGAGGTGGCCGACTCTTTGATTATACCTTATGCAATTTTATTGTTATTTTGTGTAGTTGGAAATTCAATACACACTATTATTAGTATTACTACTACTAGCCGACCCGGCAACGCTTTGCTGTTGCTAGATAATAGTGTAAATACTAATACAGTTTTATCCCTACAATAACGACGTTTATACATTTTAAATTATAATAATTAGCGGTGATGATGTACGTAGACAGGTAGGTAGTTTTCTAGTCCGAGACAATCAAATTATCATCCGTATCACCAAGGCAACCCACGAATTAACGAAAATAAATAAATACATTTATATAAACAATTAGATATCCGTATAAAAAATACCTAAAAACCCCTATATAATTCATGGGATTGAGAATGGAACGTTACGTCAAAATTTGAAAACGATTGGTAGAGTTTCCGAGAGCTGAATCTAAGCACAAACCAGTGTACAATTTTCAACATTTCTCGGTCAGCCAATTAGTGGGTGTTGTTTTTGATAGCACAAGTGCTCTTCGAAGGGCATTTGCTTCAGTGAAATATACACTAGGACCGTTTTCAAGGTGTATTGTAAGGTGCTGGACAGAATAAAGCCATCTGTGTTTATAGTTGCAATTACAATTTTTTAAAGTTTTCGTGGAATTTTTTTTTGTTTTAAATTTTATCTCCGTGTACCTAACAATAGTAATCCATAATTCAAAAAAATAATTTAATTTTCATACCAAAAATACCTAAGAACTTTTCAACCCCCATTTCATCTCCTTCTAGGTTATTCATTTTGATGAAGACTATCTTATCCCTAAAGTTGAACCAAATCATACACATTGAGCATTATCTTATCAAAATCGGTTGAGTAGTTCCAGAATGTATCGCACCTCGACTCGTCGTACTCGTATTTTTAGTTACATAAGATGTGCAACACAGTAAGTTGTGATTTTTATTTTTTCGCATCAATGCAAATCGTTTCGTCCATTTTATCTCCGAAAACTACCGGAGCCTAATAGTATTTAATTGCAATTTTTTATATAATTACCTACCGAAGAAACTATTTATTTACCCGAATGACTTGTCCTCGGATCGGCGTCATGTTGTAATCTTTACATAATTTTTTGGCCGCGTAGCCAGTGCAGTTGAAAACGATATCGTAGTCTTTGCACAACTCCTCCAGGGATTCGATTTTTCGCTTTACAATAGTACCGCCGTTATCGGTTATCCTATAAAATAACAAATATTCAATAATAAAATAATAAAGTAAACACAAAATTATTAAATGGGTATTAATCATAAAAAGACTCGTAAAATACATTGTAACAAATATTACACCTACACAAGGTGGGTAAGTACATCTATTTTTCATCCACATTTAAAATTTCATCTGATCCACACGTAGCTCTATATATTACTGCAGTTACGTTTCCTACTTTATCAACACATCGTATATTTTTAGGTAGGTATACCTACTGATAAAGGCAAACTGTAGTAAATTATGAAAGTCTTACATTTCGTTTTTTTTCCAAACCACATAGCTTCGGGCGAAAATCCTTCTTTTAAAGACGAATACTTTTTTTAGACAAGATCAATATTATAGGTGCCTAAATATTATTGCATTCTAAAATCTAAATAAATTTTGCATTGGGTTTTCGTTATACTACAAAAATATTGCTTTTTTAGAGAGTAAAAAAAAGGTGGTTTAAAACATCAGGTTTTTTAAAAGTTCACGAAAAATAAATCTTCTTAATCATAATACTAGTCATAAAAAATTAATAAAAATGATCCTGGAGACTTTTCGCCTAAAACAATTTTAGACCTGAAAATACAATGGCTAGTTTACGAGAACCATAGTAAGTTATACAATACAATATTATTACTATTGTTGTTAATTTTTAATATTATTAATAATTTATTAGACAAACCCGATCTCGCGGATTTTGGATTAAAAAAGACAAGAACACCAATTGCCACGAGAGCACGCCACCGTAATTATTGTAACATCTAGTATAACTTCAGGAATAAATAATATTTTCGATTTAAATTTAATAAAATAGTATTTTTAAACCGTTACGGACTAAAAAAAATACTATAATAAATTAACCGATTCAACTCGGAAAAACGTATTCAAGTATTATTTTTGCAACGGCTGACAAAATATCTACAATCTATACAAAAATATGCACAGTAAGTAGGTTTGATTAGTGACAAAAGAAAAAAAAAATTTCGGTTAAAATTTAAAAGTGATTAGTGTATTGAAATTATCCATTGGTAACATCCAAAAACGGCTTTCTTACTCAAAATCTTAAGAAAAAGAAAATAGATTCTACTATAATAATAATATCTATCAACATTCAACGTACATTTTCAAAGCCCACGGTAAGAACCGTTTACATTCGATGACAATTGACGTGCAAAAGATCCCGTTTATAATTTTGGATTTAGTTTCGGAATGCATGCTCAGCTCCTCTTCGGTGGCATCTCTGTAATTCGGCGCACAGTGTTCCATGTAATGGTTCTAAAAAAAAATTTAAAAAACGATAATCATACAAACAGAAAAAAAAACTGCTGAATTTTGCAACCCGTGATTTGTGCAAAATAAAATTATTGATTTTGTTTATCCAGCACTGTAAAAGTAAATGCAAATTCTACGATAGTTGTAAAAAAACTGTTGTGATTATAAATAGGAATTCTTCTTATAACTAACTACTATATAAGACTTCTGCTACTTCTACTAGAAATATTGCTTCGATATTAAATCTTTTCCGGAGGACCGTTTTGTATCTAGCTGGTGTGTATAAAAGCCGTTTTTTGATTTTCCATATGATTTAAAAGCGATAAACCGGGGAAAAAACGTAAAAATAAAAATGGTAAAGTTTATAGCAATAGTGATTATATTATTTTCAATTTTTAGATTTGGATCGGAGCGAGGAATTTTTTGGTTTTAATATCATGTGTTTTTTTTTCAGTTAAAAATATTCTCATTGAAACTTGAAATGTTAACAGAAAACGTATATTTACTACAGAAGTGGTAAAATTTTCAAAAATGATGGCAATTTTGGCGTTTTTGTTTAGACTTAACAATTTTATTTACTGAGTACCTACCAAAAAAAAAGTACGGAAATAAACCCCGTAAAATTAAAATGTCTATAAATTACTCAAAAATGGCTACAATGTTTTGAGAATTTTATCGAGTCTAGGAAAGTAAAATATAAGTTTTCTGTCCAAACTTCAATTTCCTACAAATATTTTTAACCGAATCAAAACAAAACCAAACAAAAAATTGAACACATACACATTTCATAAATTTTCCTTTTTTTCCTACATTATTCCCATGTTTTTTCCACGTTTTTGCCATTTCTTGGGAAAATCCCTGGGAAAATCAAAAAAAAAAAAAAACGATACCACCCCGGTCAGGTTTTATTTCGGAAAAAGTGTTGTACTTAAAAATCGAAGCAAAATCGCTGGTAGATAAGTTGTCTGCAGATAACAAAAAATCTCCGTAAAACCAATACATTCCTCGCCCCGGTCAAAATCTAATGTATTAGTGAAATATTTCTTCCGTATATATCGGCACAATAGAAATACAAGAATTTGATGTTGATTTTCTATACGAGTATGAACGTGTACAAAATAAAAACGAAACAATAATAACAATAATAGAAATAAAATGATTGGCAAAAAAAATGTGGAACGCTTCACGATTTTGCGTGTCATCCTTGCGCAGGGGCCATGCTAATCTTCTCTGTATCGTTCCAATTTTAGTATATGTACTGCCGTAGCAAGTACAAAGGTAATATCAAGAAATTTGGTATATATACTATGCCGTGTGTTCAAAGTGAACACTAGCGAGAAGTTTTCACGCAACGAAATAGTGCACGCTACGTAGTGGACAGCGGTAGACTACTGGTCTCAAATACGAAAATGCCGTCGGATGGCGCCAGCGATAACGCCACGGTAACATCTGCACGAATATTACAGTAATCCATATACGACCAGTAGGTTATAGACACGCAATAAATTCGTCGGTACAAACCGGCGTGAATTTGATAAATTTTTCGGAGTTGCCGGTGTTAAAATTGATGACACCGGTTTAATTTGTCTGCACCATTACATGCATTTAGTGCAAACTATTTACACCGGTTTCATCCCATCTCATTTCCCTCTCGAAATAATAAACGAACAGATAAATGATAATAATAATAATAATAACAATAATAATTTAATTGATAATCATTAATACCTATTCAAATTAATTTTTATTAAGTACTCATATTATTGGGTAAGTATATTATAGGTAATACACTAATAATTTAAATAATTGATTAATATTTAATTGATAGTATTATTAATGTTAATTTTGGACAATGGTGGGAATACACCGAATTCCATAGCATATTTATTTGGTATAACCGAATCTAACCTGTCATCAAAATCATATGACTTAAGAGAAATTCTTGAAAAGTAACACAAGGTACATTGTAAGTTTTACTTAGCGGTATGAAAATCAAATTTGAATTAAATGGTTTCTTTCTTTGGTTTTTTTTTTATTTTTCTAATCTTTTGAAGATCAAATTTTGACGAAAATCGTTAAAATGATGACATTCGAATATGTCTTACCGAACTAGGCTCCAAATTGTTTTTCGTTAGCGAAGATTTATCGTAGTGTATAGGTATAAAATTAATAACTATGTCTCCTGTACCTTCCCAATTTCTTACCAGACACGTAACTAGGATTACACAATAATAGGGATTGCCTAATTATCGCCACAATTTTTCTTTGGTCTTTTCTTTCCCCCCTATTAGGCATTAATTTAATTTATAAGTATGTTAATATATTGTTTGTAATATAATTTTAGATTCTGGATTGAACGACGATACTATGCGCCATACGGGGTGATCAATCTATCATAATTCATAAGACAATAATTACCTCGAAAAGTATTTAAGAAACAAGCCGCCCTGCGGTTTTAAATTCATGTTATTTTTTGTCACCCTTATTTTTAGGGGTAAAACCGCTAGGCAGCTACTTTTAATTTTCAAATGGCAACCCGTATTAAAAATTCCATAAATAGATGGAGTATTATATAAAATAAATTCAGTGTTGAAATTTTCGATTTCCGTCAATCCGTAGACCAGATATTCCACTTTTAATTTTGGGTTGTAGGAGAGTGGTGGTGCATTATTAACGCGCCACGCGCCGTACCACCACACAAATGATACTTCACTACTCTCCTCCAACCCAAACTTAAAAATGGAATATCTCGTCAACGGATCGACGGAAATGAAAAATGTCAACACTAAAATTTATTTTAACTAAGAAAAATCGAAGTAAATAAAAAGGTACGGTGTTCCGCAAATTTTCTAATCACTCCCGGTGAGGATCGAACTCGCTGCGGATTCCTACCTAACGCCTAATCCCTATCGACTACTACCTACTTTGTAACTGAACGGTTTTTTAACTGTATTAATTTTGATTGTGGTATCTTACATGCAAGTGTACATGTACCTGCACTTATGCATATACGTGTATACATTCATTAGATCTAAAAGGTAGGCAAATGATTTAACTCCCCGGTTGGGAATAATTTTTTTTTATTAAACGTGACGAAATTGTATGTAAAACATCCGTCGAAGAGCAGAAATGAACGAATGATGTGACATCAAAATGAACGAAATTACAAAATTCATCGAACAACGTCAATGTCGATAACCGATCATAAACGTTATACTCGGGAAAAATAATTTTCCTGTGGTCAAATCTAAAATTAGATTGCCATTATCAACTCAAGAGTTACATTACATTTAGATGTCCACTAAAGATAACACTAAATGGTGTTGATTTGACAATCATATCAACTGTCAAATTTCTTATCAATAGAACCGGTTGTTTGAATTCGCTATACGAATGTTACTTTAGCACTTTTATAATTTATTATAAACTACAAAAAACTCAATTCAAGATTTGTGTACTGAACTCCTCGATTTAAGTAAAATTAACAACAAAATGACTAAAACTGAATATTTATCTAAAGTCGATTTAAATATAATTTACTTGTTTTTTTAAACTCTAATTTACTAATTTACTTTAATTTGAAATGGTTTGGTTATTTAAAACACGGATGTTGTTAAACAATATTGTTGAATTCAACTCTCCGTTTCCATTATTTAAACTATAAAATCGTAATTTAATTTGTGTACATTGAACACCTTAACGTACGCAAAATTAACTCAAATATTTCTACGTGTGCAACTCGAACTTAAAAGTTGAATATCTCGTCAATGGATTGACGGGAATCAAAAATGTCAATACAAAAATTTATTAGAAATGAAACTTTCGAAATAATAATAATAATAATAATAATAATAGTTATGATACGTTTAAAGAAATAAATGATTGGCAAAAAAAATGTGGAACGCTTCACGATTTTGCGTGTCATCCTTGCGCAGGGGCCATGCTAATCTTCTCTGTATCGTTCCAATTTTAGTATATGTACTGCCGTAGCAAGTACAAAGGTAATATCAAGAAATTTGGTATATATACTATGCCGTGTGTTCAAAGTGAACACTAGCGAGAAGTTTTCACGCAACGAAATAGTGCACGCTACGTAGTGGACTGCGGTAGACTACTGGTCTCAAAAACGAAAACACCACTAGGTGACGCTGATAGTAATGCGAGGCAGCATATGCACGAATATTGTCCGACGACTTATGGTAGTCTAGTGGTAGAATTTACTGTTACTATTCTAAATCCTAGGGCCGAAAGTTTAAATCTGAGTTCCGTAAATATTTTTTTTTTTCAAAACTTAGTCGGGTCGTTAATAGAAATAAAACAAATACATTTTGTGTATTGTTATGGTTTTTTTTTTCTTTATACTAATCAAATTTTAACGAAAAACGTAAATATTACGGCCTTTCAAAACATGTATAACTGAACTTCGCTCCGAATCGTTTTTCGCTTTCATTTGTTTACCGTTGGTTACAAGTATAAATCAAACAACTTATGTATCCGATCTTCCCCACTGTTCACCTACCACACTGGCTGCCATTCCTAGTATCAGATTTTTTTTTTTTTATTTTACCACGACACGAAATAATGATTACAATGTGTATAGTATTATAGTTACCATTATGAAGCTTGGGTCTTTGGACGTAAACGCATAACCGGAAACGCTATTTATACCGTACGGTCCGTCCACGTCCTTTTTGTCCAATAGATTTTTGTAGAAACTGTATGAATCCTTCACCCACTTCCTAAAAAATAGAATAAATTATATTATAATCATTGTCGTAGATACTAACAATTATTTTAAAAATTTGGACTTCAAACTTTTTGTTCGCGTTTCCGTTTTTTGTACATTAAAATGAATACGCTCACCTAGGCCTATCAACGAAATCGGGTGGTTTCAGTGTATCTGTAGTTTCATTGAGTTATAATAACTTGGAAAAAAAAAAATACATATCTATACTACTTATTACTTACTATGGGTATTCGGTAGGAGGTCGGAAGTGAGGATATAATTAAGATTAGATACCCGATTTAATCTATATTTGTGTGCAAAGATAAACTGTTGTTAACAAAAAACGATTATGAGCAAAGTATTTTATCGATTTTATCGAATTCGATTATCAAGTCGCGTATACTGAATTAAAAATACTTCAAATACCTCAGGTACAATTGAAAATTAAATTCGATCGACAATACATTTAATACTACTATATTGTTTTTGCCATTGTTATTACTCTGACTTTATTTCATATTGTGTTCTTGATTTGGCATTAATAGTTTGTTTTGTGTACAGTTATTTTATATTTCCTCAATTTAAATATAACTTCCTGGATTACCTAATTATTTTACTGTTCATTTATTATCCGTGTTTTTATTTTTTTTTGTACTTACGTAATTGTATGGTCTCAGTGTATTTTCGTACGCTTAAATTTATCTGAAAATAATAATCTGAAAAATTCATATAAAAATGGGAAGATATTTTTATCAGGTTACAATATTCATACAACCGATAAGGAATTCGGTACCGTTGGTGTAAACATAGAAAACGAAGGCAAACGATCGTTAAATACACGACATGGTGTAGTTATCATTTACCGGTGATTTTGAATTTTTCGATTTATTTATTGATGCTAAGAATAGTTCCAAAATACTCGATTTAAAACCTATTTCGTCATCAGAGTGTGAACGTGTACTCAGTTCTATGAATAACATGGTCGCTCCTAAAAAAAAAGCATTGTCAACAAAAAACGGGTCATCGTTATTGTATAATAACCGTATTGGTCCTCCTGTAAATTTATTTGAACCGAGCTGTTATGTTACATATCGGGTACGCAATGTCAATATATCAGCTAATGAAGAATGTTGTCCAAAAATAAATCCAAACTATGAACAACACACTTATCAAAATATGTGGTCTCTTTTGAATAAAAAATCAATAGCTATGAATTTTGTTATTTATGTTATATATTGAATAAACATGTTGATTATTATTATTTTTATTTTCTACTGCAACTTGTAGGATGCAGGTATTGCTATTAAAATATATTTGAAATTTTAATGTTTTGTAGCTAAAAAGTGATATTCAAAATGCTGATAAGGGGAGGGGGTGTGAGGCGAAGCTTTTCACGGGTCTGTGTTTAGTGATTGTGCACTTAGAACGTAGTTTTTAAATCGTCGGGTTGAACTTTTTTACTTTTTTTCACATCGAGCACTGATGGTACGTACTACAGTGAAAACAATATTATGAATTGTATTTTTTTATTGTATTGTATTGTATCATTTACTGTTTATCGTCAAATGTCGCGGATTTTATTCCTAGCATAATACACAGGGCGTAACACGAAAATCTTAAACCTGAAATACCTTTTGTTCTGTTCAATATTTTTAAGTTTTTTTTTTTTTTTTTTTTAATTTTTTTTTTTTTTTTTTGTAATATTTTTTAGAGCCTTCCCTTATGATTTCTTACGTTTCAATTTGTATATTTTTATAAAACCTAAGAATCATTTTATATTTATATTTCGAAACGAAATTTTGATGTTACAATCATTTACTAATAATAATGAATCGTTAAGTTTTTACATTTTTTTAAAATTTAAGAAAGTCTCTAATAAAATTATTTTTAAAGGACGAATCTACTGACATATTGATTGATATTATTAGTATTAAGTAGTCGCCATGAAAACAATTTAAATATTATCGTCGACTCGAAAAAAAATATTTATTATAATATTGTCGGTTCAAAGTTCTAGTAATAATCACATGAAAAAAAAAAATATTAATATTAATAAAATGAGTATTGTCACATATGAGAAACGTTAGTTATTAATTATTATTATTATTGTAAGATAATTGTAAAATTGCGCGTTTAATAAAAAATGAAATCATATTTAAAACCAACATTCAACCCCCCACTCGTCCCATCAGACTACTCTACATACTATGACTAGAAATGTATCCGTTAAACATTTCGCTAATGGCGCAAATTTTCAAGGTACACCAGTGATTAATATTATAAAGTGTTTCACGAAGATATCTTGGAAAGTAATCGTTTTTTTTTTTTTTTTGTAAATTTGTTTTTACAGTTTCAAAAAACAAGTAGCTCTAAAGTGTAATATTTTTTTTTTGTCGTTTTTATTTTTGGAGGCGAACAGACTGTGTTTGTTTAAAATTTTTAAATGCACGCCGACATTCAAAATCCCTCGAGCAGACGGAGAGTATTGTAGTTTATTGTTAGTTTAATTAGATCTATAGATTTCGGCGTTGAAGCTTTTGATTTCCGTCCGCCCGTGGCTCACCTCGAGGTTTGGACGTCCGGGCCGAAAATGTACGTGTCCGGCCTGAACAGACCGGCGGCCCCGTCGCTGAGCGTCTCGCCGTTGAACTTGTCCGCGATGACGGTCACGTCGCAACCGGGCAGCCGCCTTTGGATTTCCAGCGCCGCGTTTAGGCCGACCACGCCGGCCCCGACCACGGCGACCCTTTTGCGCGACCGCGCCGCACACGACATCGTCGGTCTGAAAAACCGGCCGTCGCCGAAAAATCATTTCAATAGCACGTTTCCCTTCTCGCGCGTCCCCACACGGGCACGGTCCCGTCCGCGGGCGCGTGTACAGGCACACCATATTTAACAATATGCAATTACCGTGGTTGTTGAATCAAATCAAAACGAATTTTTCAAAACGCAGCGCGACAATCGGACGGATGCTCCGGTCGCGAATGGCCTTGCGCGGCGGACGACGAACGGACACTAACCGAAATAATTAAAACCGCGATATCGGATCGGCCGCCGCGGCATAATTGTTGTTACAGACTCGTGTACAGAGCGTTTCTCGCACTTCTATAGTGTCGTACAAGTGTATAATAATAGTATTATTATTATTATTATTATTATTTTTTTTCATCGAATTCTCGGGAAGGGGCCCCGAGTTACGTTTTCCATTTACCGTTCGTTGTCGCCCTTGTTTTTTAAGGAGCGAATCGACGAACTATACTTTTGATTTTCAAATGGCCATCTATATTAAAAATCTTGTACGTTAGTCAATTCAATTGCATTTTGGTGTTGACATTTTCATCCGTCAACCCGTTGAATAGTTATTCCACTTTTAGGTTCGGGTAGGTGGCAGTAGTGGGGCATAATTTGTGTTGCAGGAGGGCCAACGAAATATTACAGCCGAAAATTAATTTGCTAATAGTGTTTTAACAGAAACGTACTTTGTTCCGAAAATATTTCAAATATTTCTTTCACTATAACTCTGTTCCAATTTAAACTTACAAAAATGGACCGATACCTTGCCAACGCTTTGACGGAAGTCAAACATTTTACGGTACACGGAGTATACTTTTTTCAGTAAAGGTTGTGATTTGAAAATCAAAAGTAGGCGGTCGTTTCACCCTCAAAAAACAAGGGTGTCGCAAAACAATGGTAATGTAACATTTTAGAAACGCTTGTTTCTTGAATTGTCGATACAAATTTTTCGAAAAAAAAAAAACAAAACCAATACTTTATGAAATAATTAGTGTTGCCCGGTAAATGAATCATCGTGTATAATATCTTTTCAATTAAACACGTCGGAATAAACGCCGAACACGAGACGTACGGTTTTTCGACTGGACCGATACAGTAGGGATAGAAAATTATTAGTTCACGGCCATAAACTACACGGTTTTAATCGTTATAACACGTGAATATCACGCACGTGATAATGCTGTTGTTTGTATTATTGTCTTCTAGTAGGTACTATTGATTAATGATAAAATACAATACTATATTGTTTACGCTCGTTTTGTTGATTAGCTCTTTTGGTTACTACGTCCTATTGAGATGAGTGATGCCCCGGTAAATTTATGAAATATTAAATATTATGTTTTGCAGCGTTATATTGTCCCGCACGTAGGACATTTATTTTTTCAATTTTTGTAACATTTAGCGCGAACAAGTGTAGTCCGGTGATCCCGACAACGATGGTATTTTCAACATCCGCTCTGATGTTGTAACGTTTCGTTACGTTATTATAAGTCATAAGTATAATCTATCTGATATTTCGGAAAATTTGTGAGTACACCGCAATTGATAAATTATCGCATTGTTTATTTTTGCATAAGTACCCATGTAGTATTATTGTGTGTACCTTTTTAAGCTAATTTTTACCACTGTTTTTAAATAAATATTTTTTTCTTACGTTATTTTTTTTATAATAATCAATATGACAATAATAATCGTTTTTTGTCTAGTTGTTGTTGCACTAGAAGGACAAACAAAATCATAACGATTCGTCAAATTGGTTTCATATAATGTTTACATTATAAAATAATAATATAGAAATATACATTTTCATTTTGAATACAAATAATTTTTTATCAGAATTTAGAAGTACAACGTATAAATTCGAATGACATATTCATAAGGTGGATAGATGGCTATTGGTCCACCTAAATCAATAATTCAAATGCCAATGATAAAACAAATTAGGCCCTGTCATCTAGTATTCTGATTTCTAATAGATAATTTGTTTAGTGTTTGGCCAGTTTTACATTGAAAGATAATATAATTCTGTAACGGTTTATCACTAATGCAAAATTTTATTTTTTTGTGTGTCATACTGATATGGTTCTACACGTGTAGAAATAATATGTCGTGACATCTGTGAGATCCATTCGAAATTGTTATTTTCCGTCGATATAAATAGTAAAATTAAAAAAAAAAATCTAAATCTAAAATGATAAAAAAGATTTATGAGAGGCCTGGGAGAATATAAGTATACAGGTATTTTTCGCACGAAACCGCACTCCATTTAAGATGATCCTACGTGACTACCATTTCGAATGTGTATTAAAAAAAAATGAAAGATCTGATACTGGTGATGGGAGCGGCCACTGTTGTAGGTGATAATTTGGGATGGTAGGATACATAAGGTTATTTCATTTATATTTCTAAACAACGATAAACCATTGTTTGACGAAAGACTAATTAGAGCGCAGTTCGGTAATACATAATTTGAAGTGCCGTAATTTTGTTTGCGATATTTGTTTAAATTTGATTTAAAAAAAAAAAAAGTCACCCGATAATTTTAAAAATTTTACCACATTTAGGTAAATTTAATTTTAGTATTATCATCAAGTTTCAAATATCTACGTGTATTTATAACCGAATTACAGCAAAAAAACTACCAAAAATTAAAATTCATTAAAACCTCGAAAGTGGCTTAAAAGTTTTTGCGATAATACCGTAAGAAACTAAATTAAAAAGGCAACAAAATAGGTATCGAGTGATTTTTTTTCTGGTAGAAAATGTCGTCCTTATAAAATCGTGAAATTGTACGTTTTCCTATGTTATTTCACACTGAAGTGCTTTTATTTAAAAAAATGACTTCTTTAAAGTACCATATAAACAACTTGAGCTTTCAGAAAAGTTGCTACATGTAAAAATCGGAGCAAGTTTACCGGGAAAAAACGTGTCCACAGACTGGAACAAAGAACCTTCGCTACGTTTGGAATCTAAAAATTATAAAACATTCCGAGTCGTACAACCAGCTACAGTCTGTAAAATGTATTCCCACGACAGAGCATAGTAATTAGCATCGTAGTAGTAATTATAACGATATCAGCATATTATATTAAACGGTTTCAGTGAAACGTAATTTTTTCTATACAAATTTAATTTTCATTTAAGTGTCATTTAACTCATTGCAATCAAATATAGGGATTAACAAAATCAAATTCTTCGTTTTGTCTTTTATAAATGCAATATATTGACTACCTAACTTTCGTTATGATCATATTCTGCAGAAATTAAATTTATAAACAAAAAAGTAAAAATACAATATTCTTATGCCATGTTTCTCAGCAAATTATTGAATAATGATATTGTTGATTCCATTATACTAACTAAGCTTCATCTCCTTTAAAATTAATCATCATAATTTCCGAAACAAGGGTCTATTTTTCATTCAACATTAGGTACTCTAAAGCATTTTTATGTCTCACTCCCCTATTGGTTATTAATATAATGTCATAAGTAATAGTTACATTGTTTCCTTGGTTTTATGTCTATTATGATCGGTGGCGGCGCCAGGAGTTTTTCTCAGGGCGAGCCAAAGGGAGGCCAATATATATTAGGGCCGGCACAGTCGCACGGTATTTTAAAAAAAAAAAAACGGGGAGAAGCGTCCTTAATTTGGACAACCCATCTTCGACTTTCCGTAGTCCGTATATAAATACAGTACTTACCTTTTTAATAAAAAATTGTTTATTTATTCTTCTAAGGTCTTCAACCCCCCCCCTAAAAAATTATCGTTGCGTAACCTCGTCTCAGTAACCAGGAGTTTCGGTGAGTATGTTTCGGCTAGTTGTTTATCAGGTACTCATGTAAAAAGAAAATTAGAAGTAAATAAGTAAAATGACGGTCCGATACATTTTATTTGTTTAAACAACATAATATTACAAATCTATCAAATTTAAATTTCAAAGTTCTATAATTTAAAAGATATTAGTACACAACCAAACCATAACTATAGATACATAATATTATTAATGTATAATATAACTTATCAATCTATTATATACTGAAATATTAATATGTCTTCGTGTATCTTACGGATTACGGTAATATTTCGGAATTATCTAAAATTAGATTTATACAATAATATCGTCGTGATCCCGTCTAAAACGTTTCCTGGAATCGCACTAATTCTAAAACGCAACCAATCTATAGCTGTGCGTGACGTGCGTATAATTTGGGTAACCAGACTCCGAAATTAAAGGCATGTCCTATTTACGTAACAACACTTAAAGAAATTCGAATTCAAACTATTGAATTAAATACAATTTTTTAGGCGGGCCAACGGACGGGCCAGTGGTTTTTTCCAAGGCGGGCCATGGCTCGCCCGGGCCGCCACTGATTATGATTGTATCGTTTTCAAATTTAATATTATACACTTTATTCGGTATATGTATAATGTTTTAAATTTATTGTAAATTGTGCTCACTCCTATTATTTTATTTAAATAAAAACATATTATAGTGAGATAATATAATATAATTGACGAGACAAATCGTTAGAATATTGATTTTTCGGTATGAGAATTTCGATATGGGTTAAGGTCCTCATAATGATGGCCTTTTTGGTACGCTCAGTCATAAGCGATAACCTCTGAACTGTTTCGTTGTAGGCGATTACGACCGTTATCGACTGACAATTAATAATATTATCGATATATATCTGGTGATTTTTTTTTTTTTTTATGAAATAGCAATTTTATCGGAGGATTTTAATTGAATTGGATTAATGTCTTACCCCGACGTGTCATATACCTTCAATATAAGGGGAACTTTTGGTTTTCAAAAATGAACCCCTCCCTCCCCTTTTGAACACAGATTCGAATGGAGAATATTTTTATAGAAATTATGGTATACATTATAGCACACATGTATGATTTACCGCTTATAAGATATAACCGTTTAAATTTTAGACCGGAGGAGTTATCAATAATTTATCATTTAAAAATAGATTTGGAATTTATTACCCTTGATTAAAATTAAGAAAAACTGAGAATAAATGAAAAATGAAAACAAACAAATTTAAGGCGTATTATTTTATTATTTTTAATTTTGTTTTTTTATAGCTGGTAAAATTTTTAAAACATTTAATCTATGTTTGAATTAATTATAAACATTTTAATTTTGCAAGGGTTTTACGTAATTTTTATTCGATAAGTACTCTGTGGATAAATCGTTAAACTTAACATAAATACTTGAATATTTTACAGGAGGTTCGATGCAAGTCGAACTTAAAAAAAAAAAAGAGAGCTGATACTGGGGACGGATTCGGCCACTGTTGTGGGTGGCTAGTGAGTAAAGTGGGATACATAAAGTTATTTAATTTACACCTGTTAATAATGATAAACTATTGATAACGAAAAACGATCTGGAGCAAAGTTCTGTAATACAATTTTTTACTCCGACGATTTTCATCAAAATTTAATATTAAAATTCCTTTATCAAAAAAAAAAATACTACATAAAGCTCAAATTTTTTTTTGACCACAAAATACATCATTATTAAGGAACCACCTGTTGAGTTTAGAGTACTTATCGAATAAAAATTACGTGAAAAACTCACAAAATTAAAATGTCTATAAAAAGTTCAAAAATAGATTATATATTTTGAACATTTTACCACGTATAGAAAAAGTAAATATAAGTTTTCTGTTAAAATGTTAAGTCTTTATGAATATATTAAACTAAATTACATTAAAAAAACCTAATTAAAAATAATAAAATAATTATGTTCGTTCATTTTCCCGAACTTTCTGCATTTTTTTCGGTTTTGCTTAATTATTAAAAAATATTTACAAAGTAGCAAAGTTACAAAGTAACTACAAAAAAAAAACTTTCTTGTTCATTAACTAGATTAACAATTCAACAAAAAAGATCTTTTGATGTTTTTTTAGTGGATCAATATTTATGGTGAAAACCATAAGCCGTAAAAATTTTAAAAAATAATATCATTGTGCCGTTATTTGGCAAAAATCGTATCAAAAAACGGCGATTGGTGGCGATGTGTTAAAAGAAACAAAATCGATCACTTGTCATTTTTTGATTCAATGTTTTTCGTATAAAACACCGTGTTAACATAATAAAATCAATGAAAACGGTGACGCCACAGCGCGCCGTTGTGCCATATATTAAAATCGTATTTTTCGTTATTTTTTTGTTTTTCCAAATTATTATGAAAACTACTTAACATATCAAAAAATTATTTTCTCCTTTGTATAAAAACTACTTATTTTAGGAAGCTTTGAAATATTTTCTTATTTTTGTTATTTTTTTTTTCGCTTATCACATCCACTCAGTTGCTTTTTATTAAACATTTTCATCCAAGTAAAATAAGAGATACCTATCTACCTTCACTAGACTGTAGCTGTAAATCCCATGTCATTTATTTTTAGAATCTGAACGACAACGACGCCAAGTAAAGATTCAATCGGTAACCGCTAAAGAACTATACAATTTTATGACAAACCATGGGTATTCCATTAATGTTTCACGGATAAAATTTACATTTAACTCACTTTACTTTACTCACTTTACTACTACATTTAAATCACGATAATGCGATCCGTGACTGACGAAGTGGCTCATGCTAAACGTTCGATAATCAAGTTTTCCATTTTATCGATATTCAGATCAAAGGGCCTTTATACAATTACCCATAAAACACTATACGATTCTATTACCGTCTACCTACATAATAACTATAAAAGCCGTTTTAATATTCATTATCTAACAATATTTTAGTCCATATCATTCTGTTACAATATTATTTACTTTTAGATTCTGAATGCAGCGAAGAAGCTTATGGTTTTACAAAGACGTTTTTTATTTATATTTTATTTTATTTTACGTAAATTTTCTTCCAGAAGACTTGCTCAAATTTCTACGTGTTGCATCTTCTCCGAAAGGAAATTGGTGTGGGAAGGTAATTTAAAGAGGTCATTTTTTGATTTTCCTAAGAGTTTTCTCAGCAAAGACGAATTAACGAGGTATTCCATTTTTAAGTTCAGGTTGAAGGAGAGAAAAACCGGAATAAAACATTGGAAAACCCGGAAAAATGTAAGAAAATTAGGAAAATCGATACAAGATTGAACACATTTTATTAAAGAAAATATATAAAGCCAATTTAATTATTTTAATATAAAATGACATATATATTGTTGACAAAGCATCACTATCAACTTTAGAATCATTTTTTTAAAAGCAATGGTTTATCGTTGCTTACAGATATATTTATTGAATTCCTGTCTATATCCTACCTTTCCAACTTCTCACCTACATCAGTGACTGCACCCGTCCCCATTATGTTACTTTTTCTTTTCTTTATTATATTAAATATTTTTTTCAAGATTAAGAGCCCTGGGGCAGTGTTCTAGTGTCGACGACTCGACAATGGCGTTTCGAACGAAAATTGATTGTTCTTGGTGTCATTCGACGTTCGTCGAGACATACATGGACATACTGACGAAACGCAGGCGTATTACTTCAACTCCGATTTCTTGCAGGAATACGTGTCGAGAATTATAATCGACGTACGACCCTACGTCGACTAAAATATCATGGAAAAGGACACGCTGTTCTTTCCGTTCCGGTTGGGTAACGGTTGCTGGACGCTCATCGCTCGTTGCCAAACGGATTCGCCGTTATAATAGCGTTGTTCAATCGTGTCATCACGACTACGTGATAATCGATTTCTTTAAATACTGCGAAATCGCCTGAAATCTACCGATTTCCGATTAAGGAGTCGATCATACAATCGAACCGATTTTACAAGAGGCGGATAACTGCGACAGTGGCCCGCGGATACCGCAAATCGCCATGTGCGTGGTGCATAAAAACCCGTCGATTATGATAGATCGTGACAACATGCAATACCTGTGACAGCTGCACAGACTATACTCCGCGCCACGAGAGAAGTAAACCTTGTTCCGACCGAAACGCGTTCAATTCTGCGCATCCCCATGTACTTGCTGGCACAAAGTGGAGGGAAACGGGGCCTCGTGCCGTTGGTTGGCATGCGCGAAACGGTTTACTTCTCTCGTAGCGCGGAGTATACAACCGTACTAAATCACTTCCGGAAGGAAACGCATAACTGGCTTCAAACGAAACGGCAAAGAAAGCCCTGATGGCCAAAACTAAGAAAAAACGAATACGCAGACCAAAAAAAACGCAACGGAAGATCATCTGAAATTTGAAACAAAAAAAAAAAAAAACAATAAAAATTTAAGTCTATTTAATCGCAATTTTTTATTATTAGTCCGGTTGATCTGTTATTTTTCTCTTTATTCAATGGCTATTTCCTATGCATTCCTATAATTTATTTCATTACCTACGTACATGCCATTTATTTTTATTTCGGGTTTCTATTATCATTCACCTAGTTATCCCGCTATCCGATGTATGTATAATCATTCCTAATCGCATAATAGGTAACACAAAAAACTGTATTTTATTATATTAGACCAACATTACACATTTTGTATTGTTATTCCTCGAAGTTTTTTTTTTTTATATAAACTGTACAAACTTATAACCAAAATAAATATTATACTATCCTGCCTATACACGTATTGTAACATTATTGATATTATCGCGACAAATTATAACATTTATTTTAAAATTAATATTTATGTATTTAAGTATCGTGAGTAAACTATGATATCAAAACGATAGATTTGAAAATGATGTGCGATTTTTATGTTAATAATTTTCGGGAATCTATAATAGTGAAACTTCATATTTTTTATTATAAACCATATTTTTTTTTCTAACAACATTTTAATTTTGTGAGATTTTACGTAATTTTCATTCGGTAGGTAAAAAAAATTAGTGTAATGTAGTATTCTTAATTTTATAAGAGTTTCAAAACTAAATTTCGACGAAAATCGTAAACATTACGGCCATTTAAAACATGTATAACTGAATTCCAGCATTCAGAATCGTTTTTCATCAGCCACTATTAATCGTTGCGTAAACAGATGTACATTTAATTCCCCTCTATATGTTACTTTATCGACTTCTCTCCTATAACCGTGGCCCACCCATTGTGCAAAGTATATCAGTCTTTTTATTTTAAATTTGCCTTTAAACAAAAAAACTCCTAACACAAATGCGAATTGCATCTATGTTTTATTAAATATTAAACTATTACCCAAATGAAAAGTTGCTAGTTATGTCACTAGTGTTTAATACAATTTTTTGAATATTTTCGAACTAACAACAACTGACCGTATTCCGTAACGACAGTAATTATAATTGTGCATCTGTATGGATATCACATAAATATGAAAAATTGGAGAAAACGCACGATAGATACGTATTTTATAATTTGAGAAACTATAAAATAATTTTTAATCATTTGAATCTACTTTCCTTCTCTATTTCAAAAAAAGTCTTATTACATAGCGTATGATATGCGATATTGCACTTAAAACAAAAATATAACAAAATATGTCAAGTAGAACAGAATGTCTTAAAGCTTACCTTGTGAAACAAATGATTATATTACATTACGTCTTGATTGATTAAAAAAAAAAAAAAACCGCGTCAAATCGCGCGGTTTGTTTTACACAGTCCGTTTACGTTTGTGCTTATACCTGGGCGCTTAACAAAAATCGTTACGATTTCAAATATTTGCAAACTAAAAAATGACGCGGCGTATGATAACGGATACTAATAATACCTGCAATATGGGCGGACAAACGAATCTAATTAAAAACTTGAACGGCACCTACTCGCCGAATGTCGACCGCGAGGAGATGGCGCGTGTGTGCCGACGTATACAACCTACCTGCCTGCCTACCTACAGCCGCCGTTCAGGTTCCGTTTCGAAACTTTATATCGTATGCGGCGTACGCCGGTGTAATTGTGTTCCGGCGGGCGGTGAAGACTCTGGACAAAGGACGCCGGGGAGCCAATCGCGACGGAGTCTATTGCGACCGTGTCTTTTTTTCCCCGTGCGGCGAATACGCCCGCGGTTTTGCCGACTTCGGGGTACCGCTATAACAGAGCCGGGCAATAATCGGCCACGGTTTGCGCGAAACGTCATATTGTAATACGCGAGACGTTAAAACACTGTGTACCGTTCAGTCATTGCGAACAAAATTCAAATGCAGAATTCCGCGTTGCCGCAATTCCGTTGCGCGTCGAAAAATAATAATAATCCGCTCAACTGTATTGCGAGTGCCGGACCACGGAAAGTTCTCTCGGATCGCGGTTCGCGGACGTGGCGTGCCGTTCCGCGATACAGTGCGCACGGCTTCTTCAATAGGCATAACATGACGCAATATCGCCGTTATTATCGTTTTCGGCCAATAACGCGCGTAAAACGTTAAAACGCGCCGGTTTTGTTTGGGCGTTATCGGAACGCGTATTGGACGCCGGCCCGTTCGCTCCGCCGATAATACCGTCATCGTAACAATGGCCGGGCTTAAATTTACAAACACGTTGTTGTTTTACATTATGGTATATTGCCCGTGCGGACAAACGCGCGTAACATTCTAGACTGCGAGTTATTTCGATTGGGATTCTCAATATTACCGCGTTGTCGAAAATATTGTGCGAATATTTCGGAATCTCGACTCGGAATACACGTCGGTACGGCGCATTATAACGCGCCTAGTCCCGCGACTGCGTTGGATTTTGTATTACACTCGCGGGCAACTAAATTTTAACAGCCATTTTGGATTCCGGGCGAACGGAGAAATTGATCGGTCCGCTACCGCGGACGCGCGCCTGTTTGGGGTGTGGCGGTGGCCATGCGAAATCCGAACCGCATTTTAGCCGAAATTCTACCGGCTGTCGACGTGTACCATTTCTTACCGTATGGAAACGATTATCCGTCGGAGAGGATCGCCCGTCGTTCCGAAAGACTGGCGACGGATTTTAACTGTCAAACGCGAATCGGTGACGGCGAACGAGACAGCGCTGCTCGTCGACGCCTCGGACGCGAATTCGAAAACGTCGAATTACAATTCCGACGGGCGAAACGCCGCCGGTCGCCGCTGCGGTATCCGTTTCCGTATTGTGCGGCGCGTAATTCGTTTGACTATTTAAAGTGGGCCGCGCAATGTCTTCGGAAAAGCGGGTACCGCTAAAGGCCGGAATACTTTTCGTTCGTTGACGCCGTTATAGGCGCGAAAAATAAACTCAAATTATACGCATACACATACACATACACATATGTATACATATATATATATATGTATATATTATATTATTTCGTCGCTAAAATTTGTACAATAATAATAATAATAATAATAATAATAATAATAGTAGTAATAATAATGTATATATATATATATATTTATAGGTTGCGTTCGGTTTAATACAATTTAGTGAATTGTCAATACGGGTAAATAACAACGGCGATAAGATACGGGATAAGGGAGGCCGCGGCGGACGTCCGAACGCGTCGGTTGACCTGAATGTTACGCGTTGTCGTTGTTTTGATGACACGGTTTATGCGCGGTCGCGGGATCGCCGGCACATGTGTACGGCCGTAATAAACGTTTTCGATTCCGGAACAAGCGTCGACGGACGTACGTGCGTAATATTAACGGCTGACAATAACGCGACGTTGAAACGACGGCCGGGAACTAAGTGCGGGTCGTTCGCGACAAAACGAAAACGCGGGCGTATGCGTAATAGCAAACGACAACGGTGTTACGATTGTTCGCGCGCACGGTCGCGAACAATTGCGAATATTACACTACAGGTTTGCCGGAAGAACGGTCTGAAGTTTGTTTTTTTTTTTTTTGAATATTACGCAGAGCACTTCTGTACGACGCTCGGCGGTATTGTCGATCGTCGAGAAATCGCCGTTCGTTCGTTATAACAATAATAATAATAATAATAATAATAATGATGATAACATTATCGCAAACTCGACGTGATGTTCCCGCCGCAAACTTTTTTTTTTTTATCAATTACAACATATTCCGTTCGCTTTTATACATAATAATACCTAATGATAATTATAATTCACAATACTAATATTACAACATTTAACACGCGCACCCTGTATTTTTTTTATTTTTTTTTTTTTTAATAACAATATATAATTCAACATCAAAAATTACCCCGATTATTTGAATTGAACACTGTTGCGACACGTTTTTTTTTGTTTTTTAAATACAATACGTATACGATATACAATAGGTGATAATGCAGTAATAATATATGTACATATTTTATAAGAAGAATAATAATTGGTGTATGTACAGCGAAATTTCGTCAAGAATATACCTGCGAGTATTTCTGCACGTGTGTGTGTGTGTGTGTGTGTGTGTGTATGTATGTACATAACGTATTTATAATTTGCATACAAGATTTTAAAATAATCAATTAAAATATTATTTAACCGTATTCGTCAGTGGTGCTGTTTCGGGTAGACAATCGATATGAAAATAATATATAGGGGGGTGTGTGCGAGTGTGTACCTCCGGCGGTCCGGTGACGGATCCAGGAGCGGAGGTTTAGGAGTTGGTCAACCGATTCGCGCGGTCATTTTTTGCCGATGAAACCGGGTCTCGTTTTTAGTGTTACTGCACGATGAATATAAAAAAAAAAAAAAAAGCTATGTTACTAATCTACATTGTTTCGGTACAAATATAAGTATAAAATATTCGAACGTTGCCGAGAATATTGGTCGCGATTTCGTAATGTATTTTTATTTTTATTTTTTTATCTACTTGAAAATAATTTCAGCGGCGTTTTTTGGGAAATTTTTTTTTTTTCGGGGAACTTTCTGTGTTTTTGTGAGATTTCAAGTGCGAAAAAGAGCCACTCTCGAAATCGGCCGACTCAAAGTCCCCTACAACTCCCGAAACCCGTCACTGGCTTGGACATTTTACACTGTTTATACGCTCATATTGTTATCATATTGTACAATGTATTATTTAGCGGGAATTCATATTACCTTGTTTTGTGTACCCTGTTTGAGGATAAGTGGCGAGATAAATTTAATGTGAGTGAGTGCGTGAGAGAGAGGGAGTAATGATGCGCGGGCGCGCGGTAGAGACCTAACCTAACACGAGTATATCACGACGGT